AAAAATAATGTAAAGCACTAACAGATGATAGTATTTAAAGTCTCTAGCACAGAGATGTTGTAGCTGTCAATATAGTGTTTCCTTCTCTCTGATTTGTGTATATGTGTTGGACTGAGCTACTAGAGGAAGCTCTGGTGGTGTGCCTAAGGCACTGGACTGCTAACCAGAAGGCTGGCAGTTCAGACCCACCAGCCACTCCTCAGAAGGAAGATAGATGGGGCAATCTACCTCCGTAGTGATAACTGCCTTGGAAACCCAAGGAGGGGTTGCTGTGAGTCAGATCTGACTCGATGGCAGTGAGTTTGTTTTTTTTGGTTTTGGGGCTACTAGATGCCATAGAGGATTTTATCCCTTCTGTATATATCCTGTGCATGTTGCAGTCTCAAACATATTACTGAACATGACTGACAGAATTGGGAGGGAGCTCCCTAGGTGTGCCCTGGTTGGGTTTTTAGTTTACTGATCCTGAGTTGTTTTCATCACAGAAATACTCTTGGTTATTCTTTGCCTCTTCTCCATGAGACTCCAGCCAAGGGCTCTATTTGATTGGCTTATTCACCCCCGTGGTTCTTCTGTCTTTATAGGAAGCACCGGAGAGCCCGAGACCGATCCAGGTCCTCATCCTCTTCCTCCCAGTCATCCCATTCTTACAAAGCAGATGAGTACACTGAGGAGACGGAGGAGAGAGAGGAGAGCACTACGGGCTTTGACAAGTCAAGACTGGGGACCAAAGATTTTGTGGGTCCAAGCGAAAGAGGAGGCAGAGCTCGAGGGACCTTTGTAAGACCCTGCCCCCTCCCCTTTTCTCCAAGCCTTTTGCTCCCACCAGTTCTGGTTATATTTTATTAGAACACCAGCTTGTTGCATTTGATATAAATAATCTAGTCTGTAGATCCCAGACTATGTAATGCCCTCCCTTAGCCCTAGCCTTTCCATTTTTCTGTCTGTAATCACTTAGCTAGAAAGGCTCTTAGGGCTTCTGGTCTCAGAATTTCCCCACTTCTCTCCGGCTCTGTGTAGAGAGGGCCTTGGGTCTTGTTTATGCTCTGTCTAGGCTTTAGACGTGAGATGGGATGAGTGGAATGGATAGAAAACAGTACTAGACTGGCTTGGGAATGACCAGCATATGACTGGGAGGACAGCTACTGTTCTGTACCAGAAAAGTGTTTGAACAGAATGCAGGGAATTATTTTTCTTTATTCCTGACATGATCCTTTGTTCCCATTTACCGCTGCAGCAATTTCGAGCCAGAGGGCGAGGCTGGGGCAGAGGCAACTACTCTGGTAACAATAACAACAACAGCAACAACGATTTTCAAAAGAGAAACCGGGAAGAGGAGTGGGACCCAGAGTACACACCCAAAAGCAAGAAATATTACTTGGTATGTGTTTGGGATAACCAGGAAGGGTCAGAGGGCCTTGAGCATACATAGTAGCTGGTCCCAAAACCTTAATTGGTCTGCTCCAAACTGTGATTAAATATGTATGCAGGCATATTCGCACATATTGGAGGATGTGTACTAGTTGAGCAGTATAGTGCTAGTTGGTGGTAGTCGTGGCCTTGAAAAGGTTTATCATATAAGATGTTTATGAATTCCAAAGATGAGCAAGAAGTGTTGCTGTTACCTTTATAGTCCATGGCTTGTTCTACTGCTCATGCACTCCCAACCTAAGCCTCCATTCCATGAGAGAGCCGTAACTCTTCGCCTGAAGCCACAGTTCCCCAGTGCAAAGTTGAGAGTGAAGAATGATACTCAGAGGATCTCTTTGATAAGCTCTTGGTCATTTCTAAGCACCCTCTGGGCCTCCCTTTCCCAGTGTCTCAGGTTGAGTCTTTTCTAGCCTTGATTATTACTTAGCCAATGGGTGAGCTCTTTCCCCTACTATACAAATACTAGACTCAAATCCAAGTAGATGTTGATTCTAGCGACTGTAACCAAGGTAGACTTGCAGCTCCAGAAGGATGGGGGCTGCGTTGGCAGGTTCACAGCTAGGAAACATGTTGCTGTGTGGATGACTATGCACTGCCGCTTTTACTTTTCTAGGCCTGTTGGGAGCTCCTGTGAGGCTGCAAGCCAGACCTTTGATCCCATCGCTAGAGAGAGTAGTTGTCTGTCCCCAGGAAGTAGGGCTGAAGTTGTCTGGGCCCAGCTGAAGTAGGACTGCTGTAGGGGGAAAGACCAAAGACCCCCTTCCCAGTTCCCACTTGCCACCCAAAAGAGAGACTTATCAGTCTGATTAATTTAGGCTGGTGAACAAGTGCAACCATGGTGAGAAAACCTGGGCACTTAGCTGAACTGACCCAGGACCCTAAGGCCCTAACCTGGGTGGGTGAGTGTATAGGTGAGGGTGTTTTAAACCCATGTGTCTGATGAAGAAACAGCAACTATCAGTATTCATAGTGCTTTCTCATGTTCTTTCATTGGACCCCATTCTATCTCATGAGATCATCAGAGCAGGGATTGTTAGTGATGAGGGTTGTTTTTTCAACTTTAACACACTGAGACTCCTTGCATAAACCCCAGAGAGAACAGATAAGAGAGGCAGGGTTCTGGTCCTGCCTTGGCCACTGGCTAGTTTGAGACCATGAGTGGGTCATTTGGCTTGTTATGGGGGTAGGTCAGGAAGAGCCCCAGCTATGTGTTCCAAGAGTTGCTTTCTCTAGTTAACTGTTTAGCAACCCACATGAGGCATAGTTTCACTTTTTAGTGTGATTGGCATTCTCAAACTCAAACTTTGAAAGGTGGAGTTAAAGTTCATCAGCTTTAGTTTCTTCATTTGCATAGTGGGGGATGGTGGTAGGTAACATGAGGATTAAATGAGATCATGCATAGAAGGGTCTTAATGTTCAGTGAAGAGTTTATCACCATCATAATGTTCAAGCTGCTGCCTATGGGAGAATTCCTAAGGCATCCAACAGAATATATTTTCTTTACTCTGAACTAGTGGCATTTTTGTAGTGAAGGGGGGACAGGGAGAAATGTAGGAGTAGTCTAGGTTGGGTTGGGGCACAGGTTATTTTGGGAAAGGGATACCTGGGTGAGTGCCAGGGAAGAGGTCTTTCTGGCTACTTCTGTTCACTCTGGCATTGATAGAAGTTTCTTTCCTCTTAGCATGATGACCGTGAAGGTGAAGGCAGTGAGAAGTGGGTGAGCCGAGGCCGTGGCCGAGGAGCCTTTCCCCGGGGTCGAGGCCGGTTCATGTTCCGGAAATCGAGCACCAGCCCCAAATGGGCCCATGACAAGTTCAGTGGGGAAGAAGGGGAGATTGAAGACGACGAGAGCGGGACAGAGAACAGAGAAGAGAAGGACAATTTACAACCCACAACTGAATAGAGGCTGCTCTGATGGGAGCCCCTGCCCAGGGGAGGCAGGCGCTGGGAAGATGGCTGGTGAGGCACTAAACAAGAGCCTCAGAAAGATTCTGAAAATACCCACCCACCCACCAACCCACCACCACCAGCCTTGCAGAATCCTACTACAGCCGGAAGCATCCTTGGCGCTGCATCCTATTGGACAGAGGAGCCCGCCATGGGGCCTGGGGTCGGGCCTAGGTTTTAAAGAGCAGAACACACATGTTGGGCTTGCTGTGTTTTTCATTTGTTGTTGGTGTGTGGGGTGGGGGCTGGGGTGGGGTGAGGGGAGCAATGCTTGTATTTTGGTTTGCTCCTGTTAGAAACCAACAGTTCTTAATTTCATTTCATTTGGAGCTATGAGGAATAATTTGATTATTTTCAATCTCTTCTCCCCCTTCCTGATTTTAAAAGCCCTTCTTTTTTTTAGGCATATGTAGTAATAGTAGCAAACGAAAAAAAATTTAATTTGGGCAACTTTGATTCTTAAAACAGAAAACAAAGCATGTGAATAAACATTGAAGTGTTCACCTCAGTTTGGGACCAAACTGCTTGGAACTTTGTAGAAACTGGTTTTGTATGTCATGGAGGAGTTCACGGTCTTACAGACCACCTTGTGTTCCCCTTTTCTGCGCGGCCACTTGGCTGCTCCTAACCACACCCCACACCCCCTTCCATCTTTTCTGATTTCTTCTGGGCTGGACTGCCCATCCTCCACCAGCAGCTCTAGTATCCTAAACTTCCTAGTCTTGCTGATCCTCTCAGCAACTGGGGTGGAAACTGGAGGGCAGTTTCTGGTCTGTTTTCTAAGAAACTTCTGAATTATCTTTACAAATATAAGATGAGAAAATAATTTTTCCAATATTTTTTATTAATCTTTTTATAAAGAAACTCCTATGATTGATTAAGGAAGGCGGTCGTGGTTGGGTGGTTTGTGGGTTTGTCTTTGTGTTTTGGTTAGTTTTTTTTTTCTTTTCTATTAAAGCTTTAAGTTGAAACAGTCTCAGATGTTTGGGGTGGGGAAAAACATCCTCTTAAAATGGGTCCTTGTGCTGCCTTCTGGGGAGGCGGTCCTGAGCAGGTGAATCATATGGCATTTATGCATATGTTATATGCGGACTGCACCCACCTCTTCCCCCCAGCCTTTGCCCCTAGGATTGTTACGCTACTTTCCCCTTACTTTGCTACATTTCTATAGTTAAGTTGGTTTTACTTGAATGATTTCATGTTTAGGGGGGAAAAATGAAAAATACCCTTAAAATTTGTTTCAACTCCTCCTGCAAATAAAAAAGAAAAAATAAATGAAGTGGCAGATGTACATGGGCTCTGGTTATTGTCAGAGTGTGTATGTGTGTGTGTTATCTCCCCATAGCAGCTTCAAGTTACCTGAAAGACATAATAGTGTTTGTGGGTTAGAATGTTGCTGACTCCCTCCTGACAAGCCCCTCACTCAGTTCCCTGGGAGAAGCCTCTGTGGACCAATAATTTCTCATTCCTAACTCAGGGGTTTTTCTTCATCCTTCACCTTGCACCTCAGAAGAGTTGGGTTTTCTCACTGTGGCATTATGTGCTAGGACTTTGGCTTTCCCAGTAGTTGGGCGGGGCTCACCACTGAGCTGGAAAATCAACTGAAAGCTAGCCTAAACCACATGGGTCTGGCCCCACGTGAGCCCTAACCTTGAGGGCTTTCCTAGCCCTGGGCTTGGCCTTACAAGCTGAAAAGTTCCTTGTACCTCCCTTCCGCCAAGAAGAATCCAGAAGTGTTTTCTGAAAGCGAGCTAGGCTCCTGTAGGTGGGTAGCAGAGAGACCTTTGCTGTGTGTACTGGGACCAGGGAGGTACATGCCTTACAGGATTTGGAGTGTACCACCAGCAGTTCTATGTACAAATTCAGCAGCCACTTCCAACCTGCCCCTGGATTGAGCCGTTGCCGCCTTGCTAGGATCCCCACCCTGGTATGTGTCTCTCCACACCTCTTCCCCTGCAGCTAAAAGCTGAGATGCGAGCATAGGACCGGGAAGGCTCTGCAAATGGTGGGTTGGAAGCCTTGGGGCTAAGAAAGGCTGGGAGGAGCAGGGAGGTGGCTAGACCAGAATTTAAGTGACTGAACGGGGAAGAGTGACCCAAGCGCGGGCCAGAGACCTAAGAATCCTCACTTCTGGCTTGAGGGCCGAACCTGCCAAGCCGGGGCGGCCGCCCCCTTTCCCGCGCCCACTCCCAGCACCTGGAACCCGACCTATCGACTTGAGTCTCCACCGCCTCTGCTTCACAACCTCGCAGCCCGTCTCTACCCGGGCCCAGTACTCAGCCACCAGCGGGACTGCGCTGCCCTATCTTGCCAGCTCCACAGGGCACCCCGGAATTCATGGGTATGTGCGGAAAGATTTGAGTGGTTCCTCCTTGCAACCATGTGGACGGACATACAGCAAAAACCCACCACCACCCATCTTGTCCACGTTCCTCTACCCGGTGCTCGGGTCTCCTGGTGGCGCGCTCTGGCGAGTCCGACAAGACTGGACTAAGCTGAGCCGCGCGCCTTCGCCTTGTCCTCCGCCCGCAGAGGTCCTGGTCCTGTACGGATACCGTGCGCAGAAGGAGGACGAGTTGAGCCTGGTGCCCGGGGACGTGGTCCGGCAGGTGCGCCAGGGGCCTGTACGGGGCTGGCTACGAGGAGAACTGGGGGGCCGCTGCGGCCTCTTTCCCGAACGCCGGGTGCAGGTAAGGCAGGAGCAGAAGGACACTGAGGGGGCAGGTGGTCTGCCCGGTGCCTGGGAGCTGAAAGCGTCCCTTCCCCATGTCCTCATACCTAGGAGATTCCGGAGAATCTACGGGGCACCGCAGAGGGGCAAAGGCCGCGCTGCGCGCGCCGTCGAGGTAACCCCCGGGACCCACAAGTGGGCGTGCGGGGCTGGAGTCCAGAGCCTTCCACTTCCGGCTGCGGCCGGGCGAGGTTCTGGGTGGGGCCGCGCAACCGCGCTCTGATCTGTGATTGGCCGTTGAGTACAATGCTTCGCCACGGGGCGGGGCCTGGAGGCACTAAGGGTTGAGCTCGCGGCTCTCCCTTGCCCCAGGTCAGGGACTGGGGCTCCCGGCAGAAGTTGTCACTTTCTCCCCCAACACCAGGCCACGCGGCTAAATTTCCGGGTCCCCAAAGATGGTGGTGCAAAGTGAACTTCAGCTACAGCCCGGAGCAGGCGGACGAGCTGAAGCTCGAAGCTGGGGAGATGGTGGAAGTGTTAAAGGAGGTGAGGGGATAAGGTGCTGAGAGGGTGTGGAAGAGATAGATACATAATGGAGCAAGTCTCTCTGTCTCTCTCTCTCTCGGAGGGGTAATGGGCGAAATGAGGGTGCGGGGAATGAGAATGGTGAAGCGAGCAGGGATGGGGAAGTGAGGAAGCAAGGGTGGAGGGGATCCTTGGGCAGCATCGCAGCAGAACCAGGGGGTATCAGAGTTTGAGAGACCCTTGGGGCAGAACCAGATGCCCCTGAGTCCTCCCCTCCTCCCCAGATTGAGGACGGCTGGTGGCTGGGGCAGAAGAATGGGCAGCTGGGAGCCTTCCCATCCAACTTTGTGGAGTTGCTGGACAGTGGGCCCCCAAGTGAGACCTCGATCCTGTCACCCCGTGACCAGACTCTGCAGTCTCCAACAACCTTCCCAGTGGCCTGAGCCTGTGATCCACACAACCTGACCCTGTGACCCCTTTGACTCTCTCCCATGATCTTAAAATCTAACCTGTAAACTTGCACACCCTATCTAACCTCACTATCTCCCCCTTCCCAGGCGTTGATATCCCAGACATGCCTTCAGTCAGCTCTTGTCCCCAGCGGCCTCCCAAGGTAAATTGGGTCAGGATGAATCTAGAAGCGTCAGGTTCCCCATAAGGTAATGGGAGGCTCAGCTTGTTACTCCCTCTCCCTGTCCCCACTAGCTGAGCTGCCTAACCTATGATAGCCCTCCAGATTACCTTCGGACAGGTGAGCACCCAGCCAAAGGATCCCCCAGTCTCCCCTCCCCCTCCTCCAAACTACCACTCTGGCTTGGGGGAGGGGAGACCAGCTAGGCTGATGGGGGTGGGAGCTGCTGACTGCTGGAGGAGTTGTTTGCTTGGGTGGACTGACTTCCCCTCAGTTTCCCACCCTGAGACCTACAGGGTCCTGTTTGACTACCAGCCTGAGGCCCCAGACGAATTGGAGCTGCGGAGGGGGGACGTGGTGAAAGTACTGAGGAAGGTGTGAAAGGAATAGGGCAGGGGAAGGCTCAGGGAAGGGGGTACTGAAAAGGGTTGAGACCCAGAATGAGAAGGAACTGGGGCTGGCTCACTTCCCCACCGTCATTTTTCTCTCCCAGACCACAGAAGATAAGGGCTGGTGGGAAGGAGAGTCTCAAGGCAGGAGGGGAGTTTTCCCAGACAACTTCGTGCTCCCACCACCCCCAGTGAGTACAAAGCCTCAGACTGAGGTGGCAGGGGCTTTGGTACACTCAGGCTCAGGTACTTTGAACACGGTTGAGGGTCTTGGTACTCCCTGGGCATAGCTGCAAGGACCTGGGGCTCCCTTGAAACAGCCAGGAGGTTATGGCACTCCCTGGATGTATTTGGAGAATCACCCCCAAATGAGACTAGACCTAAGACTGTGAATGCACCTCATCAGATTCTGATACTTCCTTTCTGCATAGATCAAGAAGCTGGTCCCACGGAAAGTGGTATCTCGGGAATCAGGTGAGTACCTGGGAAGCCTGGATTAGGAGGTATTCTCTGGGAGGTCCAGCTCAGTTACCCATGAACACCCACAGCTCCCCCAGTAGCCAGTATACCATCACCTCTATAGGAGCTCCCTCCCCTGTGGGTCAAGGGTCTGATAGGACCCAATGTGTGTAAATATGTCAGTTTGTGTGTGTTAATGGCTTCATGCTTCTGTGCCTGTCTTGAGAATGTGACTGTCAGCTTGTATGTATTTATGAGGAAATGTACGACTCTGTGTGTGTATGTTCATGTCTTAAGTGTATACATAGCTCTGTATATGTATCCTGGTGTCTATGTGCCTTTTTATTTCTATTTTACTATTTTATTTATTTATATTTTAATAGTAGTCGAAACTTGTTATACATATAAGAATACACATATAAAACATTGTTATTGTTATACGTATAAGAATATATTTAACATATAAAACTTAACAGTGAACTCTCTTGGTCTCCCACCCAAATTCAAGGGCTGGAACATTGCCAATAGTTTATATGTTCCTTCTCTTTTCCATACTGCTGCTTCTCCTACCCCAAAAGTAACCAGAATTTTGTTATAACTCCCTTGAAGTTTTAAGTTTTCTTTTTTTAACATATGTATGTACCTAAAAAATGTGCCACTTAGTTTTTTTGCTTGGTTTTGAGCTTAACTAAGTGGTGTCATACTGGGATAGTCTTCTGGGACTTGGTTTGTTCAATCAATGTTATGTCTCTAAGATTGATCTGTGTTGTTGTGTGTAGCTGTAGTTCATTTATTTTTCCTCTTTTGTATAATATTCCTTGTAGAGTACACCACAGTTTATGTGTCTGTTCTCCTCCTGATGTTGGATATTTTAGTTCTCGTTTTTCACTGTTACAAGTAGTACTTCCATGAGTATTCATGGGCATGTCTTCCAGTGTGTAGGTATAATAGTTTCTCTGGGGTATAATCCTAGGAGTGTTATTGCTGGATCATAAGGTATGCAGATTTTTACAAGATAAAGTCAAATTGGTTTCCAAAGTGATTGTATACTTTAACACTCCACCATTAGACTATAAGAGATCATGTTGGCCTGTATCTTAAAATAACTTTTTTTTTCTTTTTTTCCCTTTCTTTATTCGTTTTTATTGTGATTTGGGTGGAAGTTTACAAGAGCAAATTCATTTTCCCTTCAACAGTTCATACATATTTTGTTTCATGACATTGATTGTAGTCCCCATAGTGTAACAGCTCTCTTCCCACTTCCTCCCAGTGCTTACCTTTTCCCCTGTGTCCTTCTCTCCTATGCGTTCCTGCCCTCTGAGCTGTCTCCCTGAATAAATTGTACCCTTCTGATCTCCCATGGTTGATTGTTCTAAAGAGTGTATTTACCTGGTGTAAATGTTCACCTTGTAGGCCTGTCAGGAGCTCTAGTGGTATAGTGCCTAAGGCATTTGACTGCTAACCAGCAGGCTGGCAGTTCAAACCCACCAGCCACTCTTCAGAAGGAAGGTTGGGCAATCTACTTCCATAGCAATACCGCCTCGGAAACCCAAGGAGGGGTCGCTATGAGTCAGATCCAACTCGATGACAGTGAATTTGGTTTTGGTCTGTTGTTTGGCTGGAAGTCAAGGAAGTGAGTTCAGTTTAGGCCTGAAGGGTGACTAGGAGCCATAGTCTCAGGGGTTTCACTAGTCTCTATCAGACCAGTAAGCCTCTTTTTTATGATTTTGAAGGTTTTTTTTTTTTCTTAATTATGATTTGGGTGAAAGTTTACTAAGCAAATTAATTTTTCATTCAATAGTTCATACACATTTTGTTTCATGACATTGATTACAATCCCCATGATGTAAAAGCTTTCTTCCCACTTCCTCCCTGTGGTTACCTTTTCCCCTATGTCCTTCTCTCCTATGCGTTCCTGCCCTCTGAGCTGTCTCCCTGTATAAATTGTGCCCTTCTGATCTCCCATGGTTGATTATTCTAAAGAATGTACTTACCTAGTGTAAATGTTCACCTTGAAAGTCTGTCTGTTGGGCTGGAAGCTGCAGAAGTGAGTTCAATTGGCCATAGTCTCGGGGATTTCATGAGGCTCGTTCAGACGAGTTCTGGTCTTTTTTATGATTTTGAGTTTTGCTTCATATTTTTCTCCCATTCTGTCCAGGATCTCTTCTTCTGGTCCTTTCTGAGTGGGTTGACTGTGGTAGCTGGGGACCATCTAGTTCTTCTGGTCTCAGGGTCATGTAAGCTGACGTTCCCATGGTTACTAGTCCCTTGGACTAATTGTTTCCATACATCTTTGATTTTCTTCATTCTTCTTTGCTCTAGATGAGGAGAGACCAACTGTTGCATTTTAGATGGCCGCTCACAAGCTTTTAAGATGCCAGTCACTACTCACCAAAGTAGGATGTAGAACAATGTTTTTGTGTAGTATGTTATGCCAGTTGAGCTTGATGTCCCCCATGACCCATAGTCTTGAGCCTACAGGCCCAGCAACGCACTCCCTCTGCTTTTATTTTTGAAGGATAGTTTTGCTGGATAAAGAAATCTGATGGCGCAGTGCCTAAGGTGTTTTACTGCTAACCAGAAGGTTGATGGTTCAAACCTACCAGCCGCTCTGCAGGAGGAAGATGGGGCAGTCTCCTTCCATAAAGATTTACCACCTTGGAAACCCAGTGGGGGTCGCTATGAGTCAGAATTGACTTGATGGCAGCGAGTTTTTTTTTTTTTTACTGGATATAGAAATCTTGGTTGATGGGGTTTTTTGCCTCCAGCACTTTGAATGCCATTCCACTTCCTTCTGGCCTTCATTGTTTCTTTCCTTCTTTCTTAATCTTAATAAGGAATAATTCACATAAAATATAAGTCACCAATTTTAAGTGAATACTATGATGATTTTCCCCTCATTCTCCATTCCCTGGTAACCACCAGTTTTCCTTTGTCTTGATTGATTTACCTATTCCAGCTATTTCATATGTTGTGTTATTGTTGGTAGGTGTCATTGAGTCGTTTCTGACTCATAGCAGCACTGTGTACAGCAGAACGGAACACTGCCTGGTCTTGCACCATCCTCAGTCTTTGCTGTGCCTGAGCCTGCTGTTGCAGTTACTGTATCAATCCATCTCATTGAGGATGTTCTCCTTTTCACTGACCTCCACTTTACCAAGCCTGATAGCCTTCTCCAGGGATTAGTCTCTCCTGATAACATGACCAAAGTCCCAGAGACAAAGTCTGGCTGTTCTCTCTTCTAAGGAGCATTCTGGTTGTACTTCTCTAAGACTGATTTGTTCCTTGGTTTGGAATCCTTGGTATATTCAGTATCTTCACCAACATCACAGATCAAATGCATCAGTTCTGCTTTCTTCCGGTTTTCACATGTATCTGAGGCCATTGCAAAGACCATGGCTTGGGTTAGGTGCACCTTAGTCTTCAGAGTGACATCTTTGCTTTTGAATACTTTAAAGAGATCTTTTACAGCAGATTTGCCTAATGCAATACATCCTTTGATTTCTTGACTGCTACATCCATGGGCATTAATTGTGGATCCAAGTAAAATGAAATCCTTGACAACTTCAATCTTTTCTCCATTTATCATGATGTTGCTTATTGGTCCAGTTGAAAGGATTTTTATTTTCTTTATGTGGAAGTATAATCCATACTGAAGACTGTAGTCTTTGATCTTCATCAATAAGTTCTTCAAGTCTTCTTTATTTTCAGCAAACAAGGTTGTATCATCTGTGTATCACAGGTTGTTAATGAGTCTTCCTCCAACCCCAAGGCTGTGTTGTTCTTCATATAATCCAGCTTCTTGGATTATATGCTTCCTTTAAGTGAGATAGCATAATATTTGTCCTTTTGTGACTTACTTATTTTACTTGACGTAATGTTTTTAAGGTTTATCTGTATCAGAACCTCAGTTTTCATTATAGCTGACTAATATGCTATTGTGTGTGTATACCTCAATTTGGTTAGCCATTCACATGATGATGGACACTTGGGTTGTTTCTCCCTTTTAGTTATTGTGAGTAACACTGCATTGAACATTGATGTTTTATGTCTTTTTGAGGTGCTGCTTTCAGTGCTTTTGAGTGTATATACCTGGGAGTGGAAATACTGGGTTCTGTCATATTTCTGTGGTTAATTTTTTATTTGCATTTTTCTGATAACTAATTATGTGTAAGCTCTCTTTTCAAGTACTTGTTGGCCATTTGTAAATCTTCTTTAGAGAAAAGACGTTTAATGTTTTTGCTCATTTTTAAAAATGGTTGTTAGTCTTTTTTTGTTGAATTTAAAGAGTTGTTTGTAAATTCTGACTACTAAACTTTTACCTGATATATGGTTTCCAGATATTTCCTCCTATTATGTAGGTTGTTGTCTTCACTTTCTTGATAATATCTCTTGATGCCAAAAGCTTTTAAATTTTGATGAAGTCCAGTTTATTCTCTTGTTGCTCATGCTTTTGTGTCATATCTAAAAATCTAAATATACCTAAAAGAATAGAATGTCTTGAAGCTTTACCCCTATGTTTTCTTCTAAAGGTCTTAAGGGTTTAGCTCTTATGTTTAAGTCATTGATCCATTTTGAGGAATTTTGTATATGGTGACAGGTACGGGCATGGCTTCATTCTTCTCATGTGGATATCCAGTTGTCCCAGCACTATTTGTTAAAGAAACTATTCTTTCCCCCACTGACTATATTTGACATCCTTAACAACAATCAGTTGACCACAGATGTATGAGTTTATTTTTAAACTCAATTTTTTGCATTGGTTTGCATGTTGATCTTTATACCAGTATCATACTGTTTTTATTATTGCAGCTTTTGCAGTATGTTTTAAAATCAGGAAGTGTAAGTCCTCCTACTTTGTTCTTTTTCTTTTTTTTTTCCCCTCAAAATTGTTTTGGCTGTTTGAGGCCCCTTACAGTTCTATGTGAATTTGAAGATTGGCTTTTCCAGTCCTGCAAAAAGAGGCTGTTGGAATTTTAATAGGAATTGTGTTCTATCTATAGATTGCATTTGGT